TTCTGAGGCTTAAACTCAGGTCCTTATGCTTGCACAGAAAATACTTCTACCAACTGAGTTCTTTCCCCAGCCCCCTCAACACTTTTTCTTAGCAATAATTTATATTTCTCTTATAAAAATGCCCATGGGTATGTTCGTTATCTGTCTGTCTCCCTGTCCCTTCACACTCACTAGCAGAAAGCTTAGATTCAAACTTGAAGATAATGACTATAAACATTTAGGTCACTGTGGCTACATTATAGCTCCATTCAGTATCCTCTCTATTTTGATTCCCTTCAACCCCTGACATTTTTTTTTACTATTCTTGTGAATGTCCTTAACTCCTTTCTGGAGGAGGTTTTCATGGGTGCAGCTAGCATGGGGTTCACGCTGTGTCCTGCTCTGCTCATACTAGTGAAGAACACAGTCGGGGTGGCTAAAGGTGACCCCAAGAAGCCAAGGGTATGATGCCTGCTTATACTTTCTTTGTGCAGACGTGCAGAGAGAACATAAGAAGAAAAACCCAGAGATCCCTGTCAGTTTTGCAGAATTTTCCCAGAAGCACTCTGAGAGGTAGATGACAATGTCTGAGAAAGGCAGATGAAGTGTGCATGTGGCCAGGAAAGGAAGGATTATGAACCAGCTAAGGGAAGCAAGAAGGGAAAAAGATCTAATGTCACCCAGAGACCACTGTCTGCATGTTTCTTGTCCTGTTCTGATTTCTGCACTGAGATCAAATCTACAAACCCTGGCATCTCCACTGGTGATGCGGCACAAATGGTGGGTGACAGGCGGACAGGCTCAAGTGACAGCGAAAAACAGCTGTGCGTCACTCAGACCGTGGAGCGGAAGACGCATGGGAAGGAGGCTTCTGGCCGCAAGTCACAAACATCCCACAAAAGTTGCCAGAAGAGGAAGAGAAGAAGGTGGCGGCAAGGGGGAGGAATGAAGAACCAGACCAAACCTATTTCTCTCCTTGTGAAAGCCTTTGAGTAGGGATACATTGTTTTCTACACATCTCTTTTTTTTAATTTAAATACTTTATTTTTTGAAATTAAAATATTTTTGTTTTATTTTTATTTAATTAACTTTTTTCATTTATTTTACATGTTGTTTTGTTTTTTTGACACAGGATCTCATTTTTGTAGCCCTGGCTGGCCTGGAAATCTCTGTGTAGATCATGCTGGTCTTGACTCCACAGTGATCTGTCTGCCTCTACCTCCTGAGTGCTGGGATTAAAGGCATGCACCACTATGCCTTGCTGTTGACACATCTCCTATTTGAGTCCTGTAGGTAGAGTTTTCCTGCCTGGCCCACAGTCAGGACAAATCTCTCTCACCTGCCAGTCCTACAGCCTCTCAGACCCAACCAAGTAAACACAGAGACTTATATTGGTTACAAACTGTATGGCCATGGCAGGCTTCTTGCTAACTGTTCTTACAGCTTAAATTAATCCATTTCTATAAATCTATACCTTGCCACATGGCTCGTGGCTTACCAGCATCTTCACATGCTGTTTGTCATCGTGGCGGCTGGCAGTGTCTCTCTGACTCAGCTTTCCACTTCCCAGTTTTTTGGGTTTTTTTTGGTTTTTCGAGACAGGGTTTCTCTGTGTAGCTTAGCGCCTTTCCTGGATCTCACTCTGTAGACCAGGCTGGCCTCGAACTCACAGAGATCTGCCTGGCTCTGCCTCCCGAGTGCTGGGAATAAAGGCGTGCGCCACCACCGCCGCCGCCCGGCTTCCGCTTCCCAGTTTTATTCTCCTCCTTGTCCCGCCTATACTTCCTGCCTAGCCACTGGCCAATCAGTGTTTTATTTATTGACCAATCAGCAACACATTTGCCATACAGAACATCCCACAGCAGAGTCCTGTTTACTGCCTTCATTCATTTTAATTATAAAATTCCATCATGATCGTATTATAGGTGCTAGCAGTTTACATGAAATGGCCATTGGTGTCTGGACACCTGGAAGCTGTCTAAGTTATAGATACATTTTAAAATGAAAAGGTGGAGGCTGGAGAGATGGCTCAAGGGTTAAGACCATGTATTAATTCCTTTCCTGTTGCTGTGATAAAACACCATGACAAATCAACTTACAGAAGAGTTTACTTGGGCTTGTTTCCAGAGGGTTAGAATCCATGACGGCAGGGACAGCATGTTAGCAAGTGGCAGGCATGACTGTTGGAGCAGGAAGCTGAGCGTTCACACCTCAGCCACCCATGAATCAGAGAGATCGAACTGGGAGAAGGTGAGGCTTTTTCCTCTCAAAGCCCGCCCCCAGTGACATACTTCCTGCAGCAAGCCTGTGTAAGTGTTACAGCTCTGCGGGGAAAGTTTGCCCCCAAACAGTGTTGCAGCTCTGAAGGGAAAGGTATCCTGGCAGTCAGGGGTTAAGGAATACCACAAAGTCATGCTGCACAAGCCTCACTTAAGAGATTTATTGGTAGAGACACAAGAGGATGGCTGCCTCTGCTCTGGCAAGCAGCAGCATTGAATTAAGCAGAAGGTGGGCTTTATAGAGGGTTTCTTGTGTGTGGGTTGGGGGGTGGGGGAGTGGAGCTTCCCAGGGTGGCTTGGAATTGGGGTGGGGGGTGGGGGGGGTGGAGCTTCCCAGGGTGGCTTGGAATTGGAAGGATTGTGTGGCCTGATCTTGGGGCAAGTGCAGGAATTGATGGGATTTCATGCTCAGAGATAGGTGGGATTGAATAAGTTTTTTCACCCAGAAGTGAGTTCAGACCTTTTACCTACAAGCTGCACCTCCTAAACCTCCCCCAGATAGCACCATGAACTGGAATCAAGCTTTGGAATGCCTAAGACTATAGGGGACATTTCTCATTCAAACCATCACAGAGTGCTTATTGCCTTTGCAGAGGACTTGGGTTCAGTTCCCAGCGCCCACAATAGTGACTCACAACTGCCTGTAACTTCAGCTGGAGAAATTCCAGTGCCCTCTTCTGGCCTCCTCGGGGACTGCACACGGCACATGTATACAAAGCAGGCATGCATGTAAAATGAAATAAATATTTAAAATAGAGCAAATGAAAAGGCATTTGTGTTCTTACACCATGGGTTGCTCTTGGTGTGAGAAGGCACCTGAAGCTGTTTTTGGCATTTTATTTTCCATTTGTAAGGTATAAGGTCAATGTCAACTGTATGTATCTAAGATTTGTAAAGAGACCAAAATAACTGAACAGGCTCCTGATGTGCTCTCCTTATGTGGAGGCTGTGGGGGAAGATGCCTTTTAGAGACACGAGTTGTAGCTCAGGGGACACACAGAGGCTGGACCTGCTGGCACTGCAGGAGACATCAATTTTGCTTTGGGTTGTCTTGTTTTTGTTTTTGTTTTTGTTTTTTTTAAATATATAGTAACCTGGCATTCTGTTGCAAGTCTTAGTGCAGAAAAGGGGGATGGTGATTAGCAGGTATGAGAACGTTTGGAAATTTTTTTAGTTATATTCAGTACATTTCAATGACTTATTATTTATTTGTATGTTTATTTATTTATTTTAAAACTAGAACTCTTCGTCATCAGCAAAGCCACAAACAGTTGTTTCAATGGAGGCAGAAGAACCTGTGACCTTAAATAATTAGCAATGCTTTGCTACTTCCTGCATGTTTAGAATACTGGAATGTAGATGTAACCAACCGTTTTATTAAATAAGAAACACAGAACCAATGCAAAGAAGAAAGCCAAGAGATCAGAGCTAAGAGCCTTACCCGCCTGCTTGCAGCTAGCCTCTTCAGCCAAGAGAGACCTACTTCCTGAGTGTTTGTCTTTATATAAACTTTCTGTTCTGCCTTCTCATTGGTTGTAAACCCAACCACATGACCGCCTCGTCACTGCCTGTTTGTACAGACCTCCAGATCTTCTATGGTTAGTATTGAGATTAAAGGCGTGTGTCTCCAATGCTGGCTGTATCCTTGACCACACAGAGATCTACCTAGTTCTGTCTACCAAGTTCTGGGATTAAAGGCATGCGCCACCACCGCCTAGCTCTGCTATAGCTTGCTATTAGCTCTGACCCCCAGGCAACTTTATTTATTAACATACAAATAAAATCACATTTCAGTACAAATAAAATATCACCATACTGGAATGTTTGTAAAGTTAAACAGTATTACATCAAAAGTCACTACGGAGCATGGGGCTACAAATAAACAAATATCAGGCTCATTAAACAAACACATTTCATTTAGATCTGTGTCTGCTGCTGCAAGTCCATTTGATACCCTGGATCGGAGTTCTCCTCCAAGTTCATTCTTAGGAACACTTTTGAGCCTGGCATGGTGGCATACACCTTCAATCCCAGCACTCAGGAGGCAGAGGCAGGTGGGTGTCTCTGAGTTCAAAGCCAGCCTGGTCTACAAAGTGAGTTCCAGAATAGCCATGGCTATTTGTTACACAGAGAAACCCTGTCTCAAAACAAACAAACAAACAAACAAAAACAAAAAAGTAAGAAAAGAAACACTTTTGAGTATAACTTTTTAAGGTCTAGCGTAAGGGCCAGGAGAGACTGCTCAGTGGTTAAGCCCACTGGCTGCTCAATCATGAGGACTAACGTTCAGATCCCAGAACCCAAATAGAGTCACAAATGCCTGTGACTCCAGCCCCAAGGGCTCTAAACCCTTTCCGGCCTCTGTTGGCACTCGCACACACAAGAGATAGACTTAGAACAAGTTAAAAATGCCGAGAAGCATTGCCACACAAGGTGTAGCACAGGGTGGGCCCATTCAATAATCAAAGGTACAAACACAGAGTAAGGTCTAGAAAAAATTATAGCAATTTGAGAAAGTAGCTGATAAGTCAGATTTTAATCAGATAACTAAAAAAGTAGATTATATTGTCTATATTTGTACTCTACATGTTTCTTTACCCCTTAGTAATCAGTTTGGTGGTCAGCAGGCCACAATCATCAAACATGACAGATCAGAAGTTTAAAACATCACCAACAACCATCACGTCAAAGCTGGCCCCTCACAAGCAGTGTGAGAAGTAGAGCTCTTGGTGTCTCGCCTACCTTTCCACTGTCACAATAGAGGAAGAGTTCAGCAAACATCTGTCTCCGCATGTCCGCTTTTACGATCTCCCGGAATCCTTCAGCATAGTGGCAAAGGTGTTTAATGAGTTTCTCAAAAACTTCACTCTTCAAGTTTGCAACGTGTGAAGAGATGTACTGCAGAAACAGTAGGAAAAATGGTGGCTTAAAACCGTGTTCTTTGTTTGGGTTTTCCCTGTGGGCTTCAGTTCACGTACATGAATGTTATCAGCTGTAAGATGTTTCCACATTGTTTGCTTATCCTTCAAAGTGTTTTCAAGTAAGTGCCAATCTGCGGGCTCACCTTAGTTCCTTCCCTATTGCCAAGAAGAGACGCCATGAAATGAAACTGGAGAGAGAGAGAGAGAGAGAGAGAGAGAGAGAGAGAGAGAGAGAGAGAGAGAGAGAGAGAGAGAGAAAGGGGAGAGAGAAACAGTCTTGATATTCTCAAAGTCCCTGTTCAGGTCTATTCCTAAAGCCTTTGGATCATAAGCATTTCTCTTTCAGCCCTACCAAGTTGGTTTCTAGTTCTTGTAACTAATATGTGAAAAAGTCCCATTTTAGTAATTTGCTACTGAAAACAAGTCATTTGTTTTAAATAGAACATGCTTTTTATATATTCATGAGCACATTTAAAGTATTTTGCTTTCAAATTTATTTTTATTTCATGTATATGAATTTTTTCCCTGCATGTGTGTATGTGTACCACATGGATGTCTGGTGCATTGGAAGTCAGAAGAAGGCATCTGACTGAAATTGTGAGCCATCGTGTGGGAGCTTGGGACCAAACTTGGGTCCTCTGCAAGGGCAACAAGTGCCTTAACCACTGAGCCACCTCTCCAGCCCAACATGAGAACATATTTAAAGCTGATTGTTCACCTCCTCAATGATATCATCTAGGCACATTTAGACTGCAGTATGTAAAAGACTTGTTCGGGCCTGGAGAGATGGCTCATCAGTTAAGCACACTTGCTCCTTAATCACGAGGACCAGAGTTCAAATGTCAGCACTCACATCAGGTGGCTCACAAATGCCTGTAACTCCAGTTCCAAGGGATCTGACACCCTCTTCTGACATCTGAGGGAGCCCACACACGTGTGTGTATATAGTTGCACAGACGAAAACACCAGCACATATACCCATACAGTGTTTTGAAAGATGTATTATGCTTGTAGCCATGTAAATTAATTTTAAACTGTTACTTGACTTGCAAAAAAAGGTCGCTTGTTTGTTTGGAGGCAGGGTCTCACCTCCAGCCTGGCCTCAGATTCCTACAGGGAAAAAAGACTAGCCTTAAACTAGTGAACCTTTTGCCTCCGCGTCCTGACTGCTGAGATTGCAGTCATGTCCTACCACCCCTGGATTCTGCCGAGCTGGGGCATGGTAGGCAACCGTCCATTCTACCAACCGAGCGGCCGTTCTACCAACCGAGCTGTCGCCCTAGCCACCAGTTGTCATTCTTCTTGATGGGTCAATGAGCACGGTTAAGTCCTTATCTAATAACTGGAGAAGCAGTAGTATAAGAGGCCGAGATTTTGTCTGGGTTCAAAGCCTGGTTCCCATGCTCTTTCACTTACAAAATGGGTATCACAGTAGCAGCTATCTCAGAGGGACATGGTGAGGTCACAGGAATGTCTACACAGTATGCACGCAATCTAGGTATTCCATGTAATAACTTCATAACTATTTTTCTTGTGTACTCCACAGGTAGTTAAGAAATTGGTGAATAGCATTTTCTTTATAAAACAAGACAGTCCTTTCAGTGGACAGAAAAATATATTCTTAGAGGAGGAGAGATGAATGAGATCAGTGATTTTCACAGTGTGGCCTATACACCAACAGCATCACCTGAGAAGGTGTTGGGAATACAATTTGGAGCTTTGCCCCTGAGTTACTGCATCAGAAATCCTGGGGTTGAGAGCAATCTGTGTTTTAACAAGCCCTATAGAGGATATAGGTTTACTAAAGTATGAGAACCACTGAGCTGGATGATGTGCGGTAATTGGTCCTAATTAGTTCAGTATCCTAAGATCTGATTGCTTAGTACTAATGACTCTTTGCTTGACTAGTAGACATTTTTCTAATTTACTCAAGATTGTAGAATTATTACATAATTGGCATTTTTATATTGTGAATCAATTCTGTAATGTTGAAAAAATATTGGTTCATGATAAAAATATCACCTATATTCTATTCAGCTTTTGGGAATTAATGCTAAAGCCATGTGAATTATTGGGGTGTGGGGATTCTACTGAATCAAGATTAGTTAAAAATCTTTCTCTGAAAAACAGTTCTACACTCTGGATTCATAACCTATGGGTTTCTGAACAAGCATATTCTAATTGTGCAATGTGTCAGTTATGTAGATTAACAGTCATTCACCTAACTCTAAATTTAATTATAAATAGAACAATTACAGAAAGTTGACCATATCTTATAAGAACAGAAGTGAAAATACATGGGTGTCTTCGTGTTTTCATACCCTTGCAAAGAGTGAATCCAAACACGTCTTAAGATTATTTTAGAACTTAATGACCTTCACTTCATTTTCTATTTTCTTTTTTTTTTTGGTTTTTTTTCGAGACAGGGTTTCTCTGTGTGGCTTTGGAGCTTGTTCTGGAACTTGCTCTGTAGACCAGGCTGGCCTCGAACTCACAGAGATCTGCCTGCCTCTGCCTCCTGAGTGCTGGGATTAAAGGCGTGCACCACCACCGCCGCCACACCGCCGCCGCCGCCACCGCCGCCGCCACCAGCCAGCATGACCTTCACTTTAAAAGCTCTGTGAGCTGCTCAACACTGGCCTTTTGTCAAGCCACCTCTCTGAGCCAGGTCTCAGAAAAAAAAATGGAGTTTTTCTATTCTGATTTGATGTTGAGAACATGGCAAATGTCACACTTAATAGACTGGTAGCTGCTGTTAAGAGTCTACTGTGTTGGGCCATCAAGAATCATGATCCTTAGTATCTCAGAATATGACTATTTTTGGAGATAGAGTTTTTGAAGATGTAATTAAATTGAAATGGGGCCTTTAGATGTAGGCCTAATCTAGTAGGACTGGTCTTTATATGAAGAAGAAATTTGGACACACATAGCTGGATGGATATGTGAAGACCAATTATCACAGGTGATAACTAGTCATCTGTAAACCAAGTAGATTGATCATCACAGGAGATAACCAGTCATCTACACACCAAGGAGACCGATCATCACAGGGGATAACTAGTCATCTGTAAACCAAGGAGACCAGTCATCACAGGAGATAACTAGTTATCTATACACCAAGGAGACCGATCATCATAAGAGATAACTAGTCATCTAGAAACCAAGGAGACTGCTCATCAACATAAACCAACCTTGCTGACATTTGTCTCAGATTTCTAGCCTACAAAATTATAGAAAATACACTTTTTGTTATTTAATCCACTCAATCTGTGGTGCTTTGCTGTGGCAACACTAGCAGAGTACTATGCGTGATGAGGAACTGCCAATCAGTCAGTTCCTGTTATGTATTTCTTACAGAAGACCATCCAGGATGAGACACACTGACTTAGAGCCTTGTTCACCCATCCCTTCTCATTTCTCTGGCACAGAATTCTCTCCTCTCACCCTAAGGTTTCCTCATTCATTTTCATGACATACTTTTACTCGTTACCTCTCCCAAAGCTACACAGCCTCCATTCTCCTGTTCTACCATACAATAACTCAGAGTACATGAGTAAAAGACAGACAAAAATAAAGACATAAGTGAGGTAGAGAAACTGGAAATCCTTTGAGGTGTAAAATACCACTGTGGGAAAAATTTAGTAGAACATACCAAGGAGAGGAACAGTCTTTGGTCACAGTTTCTGAAGCCTTTCTCTTTAAACTTAACTGCCACACCATTGGGGGCCTCACACTTAAATGATTGACATTAAACAACCCCATAAGAGAGGAATCATCCCAGAGTGAAATAACACTAAGAAGAGAATAAGTTCCAAAAAAGAGGAGGCATGCCCTTCTTACTCCTGGCGAAGGGATGCATGGTTTCTAAGTATGAAGAATTAAAAGTTAATATCAGACTTCCCTTACACAGTATTGATGTATATCATTATCCTTAAGCTCATGATTTAATTCAGGAATAGTCTCAGGTTGTCTGAAGCCCAAACTTACTTAGGGATGCTCCTGAGAAACGAACATTTACTTTATACAGTCTCATAATAATCAGAAACACATTGGATTATTTTCATTTGCCTCTAGTAAACAGTTAAGTGTGTGACATCTCTTTAACAATCAGATGGGCCGAAAGCTCAGGAAATGATGCAAGTCTGGGAGAGCACACCGACTGCTTCACCTCTCCTGGGACTTCACTCATGTTAACACTGAAAACGAATGACTTGATGTCCTGTTGAGTTTGAATCTGAAACATCCTTCCCTGGTCCCATCCAGCATATACATGCATCCGTATAATTGCACACACAGAGGCATAAACTCCTACTTGTACCTACAAATATACTCACTCCATTACAACAGAACATTCTTATAATGCATTATTGTGCTGTACCTAATAGTTGATGAACCAGGAGAAAATTTTCTCAAATGGTTATTTTGAACCTTTTTTAAAAATATAATAAACAGGATTAAAAAGTGAGTAGACTGAGGTCAATGAAGAGACCATTATCTACTCAGAAAACAGATACATAAGAAAATGATAGAGACACAGAAGCACCTGTGAGCTTTCATTCCCCCCTTTTCTGTAATCTCCTGTTATAACTCGATGATTGCATTTTCTCCAAACATATTCCATGCTCACAGGGCAATTGAGTGGCATAGTGCCTCCACTGGGTAGCACTTGTAGCTAATATCTTGTCTTTAAGCCTAATATTAATATTTTATTTTCTTCCAGTTTCAGAAGCAGGTGCTAATAAAATACCCTTAAAGCAAACCTCTTGAAAAGCAAGTGATGAAAGCCAGGTGTTTTGGCATGTGCCTAGAAAACCACTAATGTAGGAGGCTGAGGTAAGAGGATCAAGTTCAAGGCCAGCTCGGGCTATTTAGTGAGACCTCATTTCAAAAACAAAACAGCAAGAGCTCAAGGCACTATTTCTGTGCCACACAGGATGGCCCAGGGATGTGCTGGTCAGATCATTAAGTGTTTTCATC